TACAAGCTGTCACTCCACTCTTTCTTTGTTTGTTTCCATGGTGGTTCGTGCTACTTCCCCTAAACCCTTTCCCTCGCCGCTCGCGCGCGTCGTCGTCGCACCACTGCAGATGAGAAACTTCAATGTTAAAACGCCTTCAAGTCTTTGGACCTTTCACCATGCCGTTCCATCGCCTTCCTCCTTCTCAACGTGGGAACTGAGTGTAACTGAAAACCCATGTCAGAGTGTGCGTGCGTGCGTGGGTGTGTGCGTGTGTGTCACCCCCTGTGCCAAAGGGTTCAATGCCACCGTTTCCACTACCACCATTCCACAAGGCAGGGGGCATGGCAGCTGTTTCCCTAGCCATGCCAACGAAGCTATGGGATTCAGCCGGAAGGGAATGTGGACGCACATTCCCGTACCTGCAACGAGAACTGTTTTTCAAGCTGTGACACCACTTTCCACGCTTTGGTTCATTGTCCTTCATGCTACTCCCCACAAACAGGTTTCCCACCGCAGCTTTCAGCCGCTTGTGAATTGCAGCCAGCCGCGCGAGTGAAACATTTTTTCAACAATTCAAGTCACCGGACTCTTTCGCCTTGCCGTTCCACCACCTTCCTTCTCAACTTGGGAACTGAGTTCACTGAATACCAATGTCAGAGTGTGCGTGTGCGTGTGTGTGTGTGTTTCTGTGTTTCTACTTACAGTATTGAAGGTCTTTGGTTTTGCTAGATTGGTAATCGTCAATGGAATATGCATATGTTTGGATTGGCCTGGACTTTCAAGGCTGCTTGCGGAGGAGGGCCACGGCCACGACTACTTGAACAATCTGATGCAATCTAGACAGACTTTTTTCAATCCCTCGACAACCATGCAGTGTGTGTGTATGTGCGTGCATGCCACTCTCAATGATTTAATTGTGCGCAAGGTTGTCTATTTGCTGACTTTGACACAGTAGATTCGAGTAGATTCTGATGAGTGGAACAATAAGAACAGAGGGAATTTCACACACCGCGTGACGTATGCTGCTAGGCTACACTCCAATTGCAATTGCAGGAGCTTAGAAACCTCAGAACTTGCCTGGCAGAGTCGCAGGCGACTGGCATGAAGGACTGATTTGTTCGGAAGGCATGTCGATGAGTGCAATGGTACTTTGAATTGAAGTCTCAAGTTCTTCAAGCTGCATTGACAGATCATCATGGGAGTCCAGTCTTTTTGCAAAGCAGACGCTTTGGGAAGTGCAAAGGGACTTTACACGTTTCGCAGAAAAAAACACGGTTAAGCTGGACACTTTGCTTACCATCACCCACTGACAATACACGAGTATTCACCTTCAGAACTGCTGCCATTCATCTCACAATATCGCCATACAGTGAGTACATATAATATATATATACTAAACATATTATTTACTGTAATATTTTTAGTATATATTATATATAACTATATTAACAATGAACATATATATATATTGTTATACAGTATATAGTCATCATAAACAGTCATTGAACCTCCGCGCTGGCTAACAGCTGGTATGAAAGGAGAAGCAGAAACAAGATGAGGAATTGATTGCTTTGCGGAGAAGCCGTTCTCAACTCGAAGAAGAAGCAGAACAAAAAGCCGAGGACGCAAATCCCATCTCATGTCACGGCATAAGGCAAAATACATTGCAAGACAGGTGGAGAGCATGAATTATGTTTGAGTCTTGGACACGTTACCTGCACAGGAAATGCGAAGTTTGCGGGAGGACAGGTTCTCTTTGCATTTGGCCTCCTGCGGGCCAATCCTTTGGGCATCAGTGCCGATGTGAGAAGACGGCGCTTGTCATTGTTTAAAGGCTGCTTTGCCCTCCAACCTAGAAGCGATGGCCTCCAACCAAGCACCTACGTGGTTTCCGACTATATGACATTATACTATGATCTATGATTGTATAATATTATCTAATATTATATAACGGTGCAATAGCGGAAGGCTCCGAGTCTCGACGAACCGATAATAGCCGGACTTTGTTTGGCTGCTTGGTCCCAGCATGCCCCAGCGCTTCATTAGCTCGCTGGCAGGAACTCAGAGAACTGGAGCTGAACAAGGAACAGTTGAAAGCTCACAGCGACCATCGGGCTGTTCTGCTTTCCAACCAAGCGGAGGCAAATACGGATGGTTCCGAATGAGTGAAAGGAGATTGCTGAGCTTGATGTGAATCTCGGGCTTTCGCCAACCGTATGGCAAGGCTTCCCGCGCCAGATAGACTACCTATTTTTCAACATTATTAGGTGGCCGAACATTCTCGGCTTCAGCTTGATTTCAATGCATCGATCCTTGATTGCTGACGGTGAGTGTTGCGCCATGTGTGCAAGAGGGGCGGTACATATATACATATATAATCAATTTTATATGTATATATATATATATCACATGAAATGTGTCGTGATGCAATCATTATATTATTCTAGCATATTCTAGCCATGTGTAGCCAATGATCGAGAGATGATTAGGCTGCCTTTGTAGCCGCCACAGGAAGTGCATCGAGTCAATGAGGAGAAGCGTGTGATTGGACTGCTCTACAACTGTATAGTTACTACATCATGCTTTTCAGGCACAACAGAGAAGTAAATCAGTAGACGCCCCAAGAACGGAAGCAACCGAGTAATGAAGCGCACGGTGAAGTGATCTGCCTTCCCCAAGTCCCTCAATTATTGATTTGTGACCTGTGAATCATCGATCAGGAAGCACAGGCAAGTCATGGCTTGCGTTTAGTTTTACTCCCATGTGGGGTCCAAGATTGGAAGACAGAGCCTGTTTTCTGGATTCAGTGAGTGCACCAAAGCCAGAAGTGACAAACACGGATGTCATGAGAGAGAGAGAGAGAGAGATGTTTTCAGATGTGTTGCAGGTTTCTGACTTTACATTCCAATGTGACCTTTGAAGTGAAACGTTCGGAGGCAATGTGATCCCCTAGCCCTAGGCCATCAGCCACCACGCTCGGAGGAACTGGAGAAGTGCAAAGCCGACGCCTTTGCAGCTAGGGACGCCAGGGCCCCGACGAGTTTGCAGAGGCAAAGGACGTCGACATTACGGTATCACTATTACTCCATATGATTCCATATGTACTATAGACATATTTACATAACTATACATATGTGAATTTCCCATGAAGCACGAGCGTGACATGGAACCCCAGGAATAGCTGCCACCTCCCTCGCACTTCAGACTCGACTTGCATCCGCAGGGCGCCCTTTCAGGCACAAAAGAGGTGCCATCGGCCGGACCGCCGCGTCTTGGTTTTTGATGGTAGGCGGAGCCCTTTCGTAAAGGGTGACGCCTGGCGCTGCTTTGCTGCGCGCTTCCTCGAAGCGCCCCTTTCGCGCGCTGACGCGCTGCTGGCTGCCGACGGCGGCTGCTGGCCTTTGAGCGCCCACCATCCTGGCCGGTGCTCCACGGCACTACGCTTGGCTCCCTGGTCGCCATGACCCAGCGCTTGGATGTGGACAGGCACGGAGTGCCCCAGTTCACCGGCGACCCGGAGCTCTACGATGAGTATGAGGAGAGAGCTTGGGACCTTTGGCATGGTCGAGATGGACAGCCCGCCCTGCAGGCGGCAACCGCAGTACATCTGCGGGCTGGCTTGAGTGGCCCGGCCTACGAGGCCGTGAGGAAGATGGAACACTCCCGCATCAAGACCAAGGATGCGGATGGCAACCCCACCGACAAGGGCTTGAAGACTTTTCTTGATGCCTTGAGGACGGCAATTGCAGCAGTGAAGCCCGTCCGCATCAATGAACTCTTCCTCACCGCCTTCTACAGCCCACAGGTTTGGAGAAGACCTCAAGAGTCCATGCAGCAGTACATCATCCGCCGAGAACAGGATTTTCGACGACTTGAAGAAGCTGGAGGTGGCACTTCTGTTCCTCGCAGCTTGAGGGCGATGATGCTGCTGCTCTTCGGTGGCCTGAGTCAGCAAGAGCAGGTTTCAGTTTTGAGCTCGGTGAACAACGAGTACGACTTCGACAAGATTGCCAATGCCATGAGGATTCAGTTCCCACAGGCCAATGGCAAGCCGGTTCACCGACGTGACTTCCTCGGCTGTGGTCGCAGCCCAGCTGCTCGTGACTCAGGGATCCTCTTCCGGAAGGGCTACAAGCCAGGGAAAGGTCGTGGACGACCCCAGCAGATCCTCGCCACGGAAGAAGCCTATGAGGCCTTCGATGATGACATGAATGAGTATGACGACGAGGTCTTCCTAGAGGACGAGGATGAGTATGAGTCCCCGGCCCACGACGGAGCAGAGGCCTTTTGGGAGGATGAGACCTGGGACACCTTGGTCCAAGATCTGCCCGACCTTGAGGGCAATGAAGAGGTATAAGCTCTTGCCACCGTCATGCAATTCAAGAAGGGCAAGGGCAAAGGAAAGTCGAAAGGGAAGCATCCCTCTTCGCCATCGTCGCAGTCCCTGCCATTCAAGGCATCAGGTGACATCTCTTTTGACGCCAAGGCCAAGGAGAACCGGAACACAGCTGTGAAGTTTTCGAAGTCAGTCACTGCTTGCACCAGCTGTGGACAGAAAGGTCATTGGGTTGGAGATGACGCGTGTCCAAACACCCGCAAGAAGAAGATGACCAAGACCGGTCCGTCACCTCACAAGAAGAAGTTCGAAGGCAAGACTACCTTCTTTGTCTTGCACGAGGGCTTGGAGTCCGACGATGAGAAGGACATCAATGCGACTTTCACTGGCCTTGCATCCACTGAGAATGACGTGGCCTCAGAGTACCACAAAGCCCCTGTCGAGCATGAGGTCTCATCGAATGCCTCAGTCTCTCTCCAAGTATGACCAGATGCCAAAGAACCTCAACTCCTCTGAGTATGAGCAAGTCCCTGCGGACGAGAAGACTCCCAAGTATGCGCCAGGCATCTTTTTGGATGAGCCCAATGACAAGCATGAACCAGCACTTGCTCCTACTGGTTCTGGCAACCACATCCAGGACAAGAACACCATCGAGCGCATCTACAAGGACGATGGGCTTGCACCTGGAGCATGTTTCACCTACATTTCTCCTCCAGCGCATGAAGTGCTGATGGTGCTGAAAGACACCCAGCTTTGCGAGCACAGCTCCTATTTTGGTGGAAATGAACGTGAATTCCATCGAGGAGCCAACGGTCACACCCGTCACGTGACCTGCAAGGACAAGGATTGCAACCAGACCATCATCGTCGCCAAGAGGAAGGACGCCACTCAGCTATGGTGCTACCTGGTGCAGATTGCTCTGTGCACCAGATGGGGATCAGCAGCTCGATCTCGTGAGCTCTTTGCAAGTGTCTGTCGGGTACGTGATCAAGCCCTAAAGGATGATGAAGATCGACGAGCTCTACAGCCTCCCCGCGGCTATCCTCGCGCACCGACAACACCTGCCAGCCGCAGGTCAAAGGAGACTTCATCACCTTCCTCACCGTCAACGGCAAGAATCATCCGACCTGATGCACAGCAAGAGCCTCGTTTTTGGGCCTATGGAGTGCAGATCTCACCATAGATCTCCCTGCGTTTCCGCCCTTGGCAGAGGACGACTATGATGTGCTGCAACCCCTTCCGAGTGACGCTGCAATCTTTGGTCCCGGAACTCCATATGAAGGATACACCTACATTCAGATCGCTTCCTCCGTTGAGGCGTCAGTGTACTGCCATCAGACCTTGAGAATCATGTTCGCGGAGACCTACCGCTTCGCCTTCTACCTGTTTGGGCGTGTCCGTCTCCTACATGGATGTGCTATGAGGACATGGAAGGCTGGCATCACTTCTCCCTTGAAGAGGACCACTGATCCCGACGACATGGTGGCCCACAGGTGCATCCGAGTTCCGATCTGCATGCATGAAGGGCATCCCGAGTCATCTCCGAGATGGTACAACCTCATGACTTTGAGGTGCTCATGGTCAACCAGGACATCAGCGATCATGAACGACTTGATCTTGAGACAACCTACACCACGAGCTCCCAGGATCCACCTGGACTTGCCATCCTAGACTCAGGATGTACCCGAACCATGCATGGCACCGATTGGGCAAAAGCGTTCGAAGAAGAGCTCGAGAAGCTCAACTTGTCACCACGCAGACGCCTCAAGAAGCAGTCGTTCAAGGGTGTTGGAGGCCAAATCGCAAGTGACACTGTCAAGATCTTTCCGGTCGGCATCAACAAGGTCAATGGTGAGCTGCACAGCGCTGAAGCTCCAGGCAGCCTTCCTCTTCTACTATCACGACCCTTCATGGAGGAGCTGCAGACCGTGATCAACATTGGCGCACGCACCGTGAGTTTCAACAAGATTGGTGTCACTGACCTCCCACTGGTCAAGACCTCGCGTGGTCATTTGGCAGTGAGCCTCCTGGACTTTGACATGGACTCTCTTCAAGATTGTTCCCCAGAACATGCAACCGAGCCAGAGGAGACGCTCACAGTACAGGAGATCGACTACAACCCTCCCACTCAGTCCGAGTTCGCTGAGGCCAATGACTCCGACATGGTCCATGACTACCACGGCATGAACCCCGACGACTACCACCAGTTCAGTGACTACCTCAAGGAGTACCGTTCCTCTTGAGGCACCTTGGCAGAACGCTCTACGGAAGGAAGTTTTCTTCAAGACTGTGCACGAGATGCAGCTTCAAGGGCTTGAGGACGTGATCACAGCCACGACGATTGTCACTCAAGTTCGAAACTCCCTTCCTCGATCCAATGGCTTCTCGCCTGCACAATGGGTCCTTGGAGTCTCTGAGATCCGAATCCCCGGATCACTACTATACAAGAAGATGAAGCACAGAGGCTTGAACTGCTCGAGGCAGCCAATGACCCAACTTCTGCCTTTGCCCGATCACTTGGCATTCGAGAGAGCGCTCGCGTGGCCCAGATCCGTTTGGACAACGACTCCCGTGTTCGACGAGCCCTACTACATCAGTCCACGCCTACAAGAGGCCCATATCCGATTGGGAGCTATGTCTACTTCTACCGTGCACAAGGATCAGCAGCTCACCAATCTCGAGGGCACGCTCGAAACTACAGATGGTTTGGCCCCGCTCGTGTGATCGGCATTGAAGCTAGAAATCAAAGGAGAGCTGAAGATCCAGAACCTCTCACTGAAGGCGGCCAACCTCATGCATACTGGCTTCGCTATGGCCCCTTCGTGGTACTGGTGACTGGAGAACAGCTGAGGTTCGCAAGTGAAGATGAACTACTTGCTGCACATCTCCTTCCAGAAGAGATCATGCACCCTGCTGCCGTTCGTGGAGCACGAAACTACACTGACCTCAGAGGGCATGCTGCAGTACCTCTTCAAGATCAAGCACCCGCATTGCAGTTCAGTCCAGAAGGCAGTGGCGGCGCATCATCAGCCAGCCGACCTGCCCCTGCAGCAAATGTCCCTGGTCAACAACCGGAACAAGTGCCATCAGATCCTCAAGTACCAATGCTACAGCAGCCACTTCCAACGCTGCAGAGCGCACTTGATGCCGTGAACCAGGCACCACGAGACGCAGCTGAACCTGAACCAGCTCCACTACCAATGTCGACACCAACTCCGTCCACGCCTCCATCACAAGAGGTTTCAAGACGGCCAAGTGAAATTCTCCCACAAGCAGCCGAAATGCCGGCACCTTCAACTCGTCTACAAGATGCTCTACGAAACCCAGACCGGCTAGATTCGCGCCAGTACCGTCCAGTCCGGACAGAGTACCAGCCGGCACCAGGTCCATACTTCACCGATGAAGTTCCATGGAACTGTCCAGATCTGCCCTACACGATCCGGCTTCATCAACTACGACACCTGAATGATGAGCAGATCAACATCTTGAAGGAGTATGGTGCTGAACTGTCATTGGAGGAAGAAAACGACACCTTCCCGGTCGCAGAATCTCCAGCAGACTGCTTTCTCACTGGAAAGGCCGCATCTACTGAGATCTCCCTCAAGAACCTCAACGAAGAAGATCGCCAAAAGTTCCAGGCCTCTATGCAGAAAGAATGGGATTCCTGGACCAAGTTCGGCGCTGTGGAGATCCTGACCCGTGACCAGATCGAGAACCTCCCTGAAGATGCTCAGATCATCGGCACTCGATGGGTCCACGTTGACAAGAACAGCAAACCACGCCTTCTCGCGAAGGCCATGCAGAAGAAGACCGGCAAGTCCGATGCCCAGATCAAGAAGGAGTTCCCCTTCCAAGCCAAGCGCAGGCTTGTGGTGCAGGGATGCCAAGAGAATCCCACTGGAATCAGGTCAGATAGCCCTACGGCCTCCTTACTGTCCTTCAACCTCATCTGCGCCATTGCAGTGATGAACCAATGGGTGATCTCGGCGTGCGATGCCTCAACTGCATACTTGCAATCGCAGGGGATCAGTCGCCTGCTGCTGTTGAAGCCTCCTTGCCCTCCACCGCCAGGAGTCAGCCCTCACGATCTTTTCCGTGCGCTCGGCTCCATCTACGGCGCCAAGGACGCGCGCAAGCTGTTCAGGACTTTGAAGTCCCATGGATGGAGAATGTCAAAACTGGAAGCTGGTTGTTGATGGCAATCTCCAAGGAGTCCTCTGCACCCATGTTGATGATTTGCTTTGCGCCGGCATTGGCGCTGTCTACGAGCAGAGCGTTGCCTCCATGGAGAAAGAGATCCACCTCAAGGTCCAGCACAAGGCCTTCCGTTTTTGTGGAAAGAACCTCCGTCAAGGTGATGACTACACCATTGAGGTTGACCAGTTCGATGCCATTGAGAGCGTGGACTACATGCCACTTGACCGCCACCGCAGGTCAATGGTGAATGCCCCACTGACACCAGAAGAAATCACCTCCTTCCGAGGATTGATCGGGCAGCTTGGCTGGGCGGCGCGTCAGACCAGACCTGACGTCATGGTCAATGTGTCGATGGCCGCACAGTCGATAGGATCTCCAAAGATCCGTGATGTGGTGAACCTCAACAAGACGGTCAAGATGCTCAAGGAGACCTCTGAGGCAACATGGCATGTGGCGGTCTGCGTTTTTGCAGATTCCAGCTTCGCCAACACCGAGGGTCTCAAGAGCCAGTGCGCCTATGTGGTGACCATCACCCTGCCAGAGATTCGTGAAGGTGGCCCCACTCCCTTGTTTGTGCTTGAGACCTACAGCGGGTCCATCAAGCATGTGTGCCGGAGCACCTTGGCAGCTGAGTCCAACGGATTCCTCACTGGATGTGAAGCTGGAGAGTATGTCCGCGCTTTCTTGATGGAGTTCCAGCACCCCACTGAGGATTTCAACACCTTGGAGCGCGAGTACGCCAAGTCCAAGCTCCTCTGCATGACCGATGCTAAGAGCCTGGAAAGCACACTCAACAAGGACTGTGGCCAACCGACGGACAAGCGAGTCCGCATTTTGGTCGCGCAGATCAAAGAGCTGATCGGTGAGAACACCTACGAGGATGATGATGCAGCTTTCGCTCACTGGCTGGACACAAGCCAGATGTTGGCTGACGTCCTGACGAAGGTTGGCTGCGAGCGCGAGCCCCTGCTGGCAGCCTTGCACGATGGCAGCTGGCAGCTCTCACCGAGCTCGGAGGCCCTGGCCAAGAAGGCTAGGATCCGTGCCGGACGGCGCGCCAGGAAGGCGGCAGCTAAGGAGGGGTGTGAATTTCCCATGAAGCACGAGCATGACATGAGCATGGAACCCCAGGAATAGCTGCCACCTCCCTCGCACTTCAGACTCGACTTGCATCCGCAGGGCGCCCTTTCAGGCACAAAAGAGGTGCCATCGGCCGGACCGCCGCGTCTTTGTTTTTGAACATATATATATAATCAATTATAATATAATTGTACGTGCTGATGTTACACTTTTCTGGGAGGGCATCCTGAGCTTTTGAGCTAATCATGCGTTTGAGTAAAATTAATGTTTAGCTGCAAATCTCAAATCTCCTCTCCATGAGAATACCATGCAACGTGCTCAGATTCTATTCACACCATTGCTTGCCGCAGAGCCCAGGAATTGCAGGCCTTGCAGGAGGAGAGCGGAAATTGATGGCAGAAGAAGAAACTTTGGCATAAGAAAGAAGCAGTCATTAGCAGCCAGCCATTCAATCCGTTTCACTCATCTTCACGGATGTCCGACTCCCTGAGCTTTGCCGCTTTGCCTCAACGAAGAGAGAAACTCAGTGTCGAGCACTTGCATCCCCGCGAGTCGAGCCATGCGTGTCGCTGCCGTAGCCTCATTGATCCCCACAGTGGCCTCCGCTTTTACATGCCCTGGCTCCTGGAGCCCGGTACACGCATGGGCCGAGGTGGAGGCCTCTGTGAATGCCAGTTGCCAGGATCCTTGCAGTCAAATACATCATCACATGCATGTCAGATGTAGAATGATTGAAAATTGATATTAATCATATCACTGTGATTCACTGATATCATCAAAGAATTCTGCAGAAATCAGTTGTTTCAAGTTTGCAGACATGTTTGCCATTTTTTAACAGATAGTGGAGCTGCTCTATTGAATGGACCAAGTCCAAGGATGTGATGCAGGAGATCAAGGCTCGTGTAACAGGAGAGTGGCACGACCCACACAATGGAGGCACCTACTCCTTGCAGCATGAGGGGCCATTGAGGTTCGATTTGGAGCGTGTCACCGGCAACAAGCTCTTCACGGACAAGATGATCTTTGAGTTTGTGGATCGAGCTAACTCCTTTCCAAGCTGTGAAATCAACGCTTGCTCCGAGTCGCAGATTTTCTCGATCAAGGATTTCTCAACAAATTACTGCAATCTCCGCAACCTTTACTGCGGGAAAGGAGATGGCTGTGTGCCGGTGCTTCATGACTTCCACTCCTACGAGCTTGATGTTGAGACTTCCAAGTTTGCGGGGAAAGACAAGGATGCTTGCATCGTCGAGCCTGAGACTGAGAGAACCACCCCGATGCTGCGTGCCACCCCACAGACGCAAGATGTTCTTCTGGGTGCAACTGTTGATGAGACACTTGCTTGCATCAGCGACAATTGCCCCCTGGACGAGTTTACTTTGCAGCCCAAGCCCAGTTGCGTGCTGGGAAATTGCACCAGCAATCTGGCCAAATGCCTTTTCTCCTCCAGTTGCCGCCATGGCGTTATGTGTGAGCTGAAGTGTACGGAGCCTCTGGCGAAGACAGCGGAAGCTGAGCACTTCTCCTCACTCATGGAGTGCATGCGCGTGCATTGCCCAGGATTCCCCCCAGAGAAGACCTGCGCTGCACTGCATTGTGGTGTTGAGGCCAAGTTTCTTTGGTTTTGTGATGTTTTTTGTTCTTTGCCTCGACTCAAAAGAATGGATGCTTCTGATCGGTGTCAAACAAGCAATGATTCTCAGATTTGACTCAAACAATCACAGTACGCTTGATATTGCTCTTAGAACCGTTTTTGAGGCGGCCTCCTGTGCAGTGCATTCCAAGTGCCGTCATGCCTTGGAGTGCGCGGACAAGTGTGTGCCTGGCAAGTACGCGGCTGCATTGGCAGCCATGCCTCGCGAAACCATCATTTGAAAGATTCAGTGAGACACTGATGACGTTCCACTTGACTTGGATTGTACTGATTAGACATTTTGCAAGATCCCACATGGCAAGGGTCATGCTGGGAGTCACGGAAGCAGCTATGTCAATTAAAAGCATTGTTGCATGTGCCACCTATCACTGACATATTTTGAGACTCTAGCTATTGTCAATAGAAGACTACCCACCACGACCCCCAACTGGTGCTGTTGTCAGGAGCTCGAGCAGTGCCGCATAGAGGCTGACATGCTCCATGCTGATCGGGCAATGGCACCCATAGAGGAGGCCTGGTGCTCTTGTAACAACATATCAGTCACTCAGTCTCAAACCCATGACAATCCTGACATAATCTAACCTAATCCAACATAATCCAACATTATACGATACAAGTCTGACAGATGCTGTGCTCATGCACTCGGCAACGACCCTGAATGAGTTTATATAGATAGATGATAGATATACAACTCATTAATTAGTCTGGCCGATTGGCAAGTGGGAAATGCAAATGGTACATTGAAGGGCTTTCCATGTTCAAATGTCAATTGCTTTATTGCTTCTCGGCCAGTTCTACGAGCTGCAAGTGGAGAGGGACCGCCTCAACGCAGCAGAAGTGGCTGGCACCCTACTGCTCTCAGAGAAGGAAGAGGCCTGACGAATTCAGAATGGCCAAACTACCAGGGACTGATTAGATGCAGGATTATGTAGTGGATGTTTGCCTGTTGTAGGAGTACAATGCATGAATGGCTTCCGCTGCAATCAAAGTAAAGACATACCTCCCAGTTGTCAGTTGCTTTTCAGTTCTACTGTATCTGTTTTGGGGATCAGTAGCAGTAGCATTGCCATTGCTCCCTGTGCCTGCTTACTTTTGTTCTTTTGACGGAAGAGGCGCATGTCAGTTGCCTCTGCGACTGGTTTATGATGCTTTGTACATACGTGGCTTAGGTCAAGTGGCACGATCTGGCACATATGCTCGCAAAGTGTGTGTCGGATGCTTTCAGCTGGTTCAGTTTGGAGTTTAGAGGCTTACCGAGAAATATCTAAATCTAATTACATCTAACTACTGTATAGGGTTGCTGCAATTGTTTATGGTCGTCGTTGGAAAGGGTTGTGTGCAGCACCGGCCACAGGATGTGCAGCGATTGACGGAGGACGATTTGTAAGCTACGACATGTTTGCCTACTCTCTTCAAATTAGACGTGTGTCTTCTCGTTTCGCCAGAAGAGCTCGAGTAGTGATGCGCCAAGTGTTTGTTTCCTGGTTAAACGGAGAAATTGAGAATCCAACCTTTTTCAGAGTTCAGCTACTATGCATTTACTGTAAGCTGCAAACTCAGACATGATAAGTGCACTTGTGTCAAGCTTTATAATTACAGTATTTGTTTTTTTGATATTTGTTTGATAGACGGTGCTGTATGGACATTTGAAGTCGCGCACAGTCATGCTGACCTTACTGGAGGAGTTGCGGCTGTCCAGGAATCAAGTTGCTCGTTTGAAAGATGAGGTCTTGGCAGCAGCTTGGCTGATTTGTTTTTGGTACGTACAGTATATTAATAATTATACATGTATAGTAACAAATTCATGCAGAGTCGTAGGTCAAGCATGTGGGACTTGAAGGATGCCTCCTCGACTGAATGTTGTTTTTGTGGTAGGACAGGGTTGGTGGAGTTGGTTGCAGCCCACGCAGGCCCTCGGGAATAATACCCTTTCTGAAACTCAAGCACACTTAAAGAGATGGGTGATGTGGTGTGTGTTTCTATTTTCTTGGTGCCCCAGCTTTGCTATCACCATCCATCCTTACCTCCAAAACTCCTCCAAAACCAAAGCTGGTCATGTCCACTGTAGGTCGAAAGTCTGCAGGTTGAGGTCGATGCCATGACCCAGGCTTTGGAGTCATTTAAGTTGCGTCAGTCGTAGGCTAAAAGTGTTGCTAATTCTCATCCTCAACAAGACTCAACAAGTAACTATAGTAACTATAGCCATGTGAAGCCATATACATATACACCACAAACTGCTGAGCTGAATCAAACGAATATGGGTTAAGATTATGGATTTGCAAACCCACTGCATTTGCAATCCTCATTTGCATTCATTTGCTCAACCTTAGAGTCCTGAGTCCTGCAACTCAAACTCACTCATGAAAAGATATGAAAAGACCTTACAAGATCAACAAAGTCGGTGGGATCTGTGGCAAAGAGCAAATCCTGGATGCTCAAGCCTAAAAGAGGAAACCTCGCTGCAGCGGTGTACATTTAGCTGCTTTAGTTAGCCCTTGTGGAGGAGCGGGATGCCGCACGGCAAGAATTGGACCAGCTGCTGGCCTTGGATGCCCTCCGAGAGACACCGGAGTGCGATTTTGGGAAAGAAAAGCGGACATGATGCCGGTCTAGTCGTTGGCCGCATTTGTTCCCCGGATTTTTTAGTGGGCAACAACAACCGATTGTCGTTGATCAAGCATTTTCCTGTGCTATCCTATGCCATTATGTGACATGATGTGGTATTTGTTTGTGATGGTTCGTGCCGCTTCACTCACGGCAGTTTGGGCATTATTGGTTGATATATGTTGATATTGTTTTTAGCACGGATTTGGATGTGTGGTTATCTCTGGCGATCCCACAGCAAGTCGGAAGCTTTGGTTGCATGCAGGAATCTAACCTTCTGTGCTTTGCAAAAATCTTTGCAATGCCACAGGAAAGTCGAGCTACCCGGCGGGACTACGGTAACCCCTCACGCCTATCGTTCCTTTTTCAAAGGTTGCAGAGTACTTGCCGGGTGAGGGACAGAAATATACGGAAATATGACACAACCTGGAAGAGTGACGCTTGCACACCGCCGTGGACTTCCGCAGGAGCAGCGCATGGAGGAAGTGAGTCGTTTGCGGGAGGAGCTTGGCGAAGTGGCCGTCATTGCCTCACAAAACGAAGAGGACATTGTGGAGAGATGTGGAGAGATATCCTGCGATAACACGCGACAACTGAACTGAATTCTGGCCGGGCTGGATGACCCAGGACCTGAACCTCCTCAGTTCTGGTTTTTGCAAGTTAAGAAACCTGTCAGCCGTTGGATAAGGTAAGGCGGATGTGTGCAGCCCTCACAGTCGCTTTGACAAGACTTAATTAAGGAGATGCGTTTGAACGAAACATCCTGCTGTTGGGTAGTCGGACTAAAGAGATGAAGATCCTCAATTCTTTGGATAGAACTAGGACTAAGCGGGACTAAGTTGATGTTTCCCTTCTGCCACGCGTTGTGACGTCTCGAACACTGTTTTGGTGCAAGTTAAAAAAGAGCCTGGCATCCATCAATCTAGCAAAGGCCGACCATGCAGAAATCTTACAATGAAAGCTTGGATGCATTTTTACACACTAATTTTCTGTGTGTCCAAGATGTTTTGAATGAACGTATGCCTGCAAAGTTTGCATCATTACACGACCCGAGTTTTCCTCGCCGAAGCTATCAGGAGCGTGATGCTTGTCGAAAGGAGCTGGATGAACTGAAAACCGACAAGGTGCCACGTTTAAGTTCAAGTGAGCAACGGAAAGCTGCATGGGCTTTCGTCCGTGGCCGCCACGGGGGTCGGCGTGGCCGTTCTTAGTTGGTTAGATGGTTAGACTAGACTAATTGGCTGGTGAATTTCCTTAACGAACGAGACCTTAACCTACTAAATAGCTCCATACAACCCGGGTTAACGCACTACATTGTGGTCATTGTTTGTCGAGGCCCAATAAATTCCATTTGTTTTGGGCGTGAGCATAAATAAAGTACAGCTGGAGACCCCTCAACACTGCTGTTTTCGCTGTTTAGGCCCGGGCCGTAGCTAAAAATTGCGTATATAAAATTATATAAAGACTTTAAAGCAGCGTCCACGGAGGGACCAGCAGGGATCAAGCCACAGCCAAATCCTGGGCAAGGCTTTTCCCACGAAAGGAATCTTGATGGTCCGAATCCGAAGCTAAATATTAAAACATCTAGATATGTTCATTTTTGGGAAATGTCTTGGTAAAGCGACGGCTGATCTACATCGCCGAGCGCTCATCGGACTATCAACACACCGTCCCTGTTCCGCTCTAGAGTGGTTGGCCGGTGTGAAGCCCGGGCCGGAAGTTGACAGAATTTTGGTGTCAAGCCGTCTTTGTCAGCAAGCCTAGCGTGACTGTTACTTAACATAAGGGGCGTAATGCAGCCAGCCCATTCTTCAGGTAGCGGAGCCTCGGCTCTAGCAGTGAGCGGTTAGCCCTGCCACTGCAACGGCTGCAGAGAGGCCAGAGCCACAGGGGCCCGAGAAGGAAGAAGGAACGCCGGCCACCTGATCAGGACAGCCGGCTCGTGTGCTTGTCGGGACTTGTTCATAGCTCCTTCCTCACCAGTTTTGTTCCAGGTCTGCTGCGTGAACCTGATTATCCATCTCTGGGTTGGAGTGGTAGGTCGTAGGTCAAAAGATCATCCTCAGCACCGTCACAACAGCGCCCTGCCCAAGAACAAGCTCGATCCCAATCACCTCCCAGTGTGGAATCCTCAAAGTCCGCGAGCGCTCAAAAGGCAGCCACAGCTAGTGATACCACATGGCAGAATTCGACTACGCTCAGCCCCCCTATAGTCCAGAAAGCAATGCGAGCACGACAGAAAAGACGGGCTGCAGTGCACCATCGAAAACTTTCAATGAAGGCTTGTTTGTGGGATCAGAAGAAGATGTGGGGGGAACCCACTGGCTTTGAAACAGCAATACAAAGGCATGCCTTTGGGGGCGGCCTTCCCTAGACTGAGCAAGGATATTGCGAAGTCTGTTTTGGTGAAGATTCAGAGTGTCAAGACTTATGTGTTGAGGAAGCACTGGCAATTCCAAAACAGGTGAAAGGATGGAGGCTTGAAGGAATTGCGAGGGTCCGGGTGTCCTGTGCCAGGCCACGGCCACCACATGCACCATCTCGATTCTGAATCTCGTGTGAGGGCAGCAGTGTCAACCCAAGTCTGGCGCTGGGCAAGGAAAGCTTTGGGCAAGCATTTGTCGGTCATAGCCTGTGCAATGCAAGTGTCGCCTGTGAGAGCCCGCGCAAGGCAAGCGTCGCTTTTTGAAGGACATTGGGCCAACGGTGCCCATACTGCTTTTGAATAAGGGCAAAGATGCGACCAGCTAAGAAGGTGCTTACATTACACTCATGTGCAACGAGGCCTCGCTCAAAGCAATGTAGAGCCCGATTCAAGAAGCTGATGTCTGATGAGAAGTCCAAGATCCATGGCGGTGGACAGGTCACACCGCTCCAGACACATTGCAACTACACGGATACGGACCACGCCGCTCTTCTTCCGGGGGCGGGCCGTCCCACTCTGGAGGGAGGCCATGCGAGGAAGTTCTCGGAGCAATTGATGCCTAAAACTTAAAACGATGAGCCACGCGATTGGCGGTTTGGAAACGCTTCATGATAAGCCCGGTGGATAATAGCTAGAGTGGACCACGTCGGAAGCAGCGTGTGACAAGAAAACAGGCGAAGAACTTCCAGAAGAGAAGGTTCGCCTTGGGCAAGGAAGGGGGATCACATTGTCAAGAATGACGCGACCTTAGAGGAAGTGAAAAGAAAAGGACTAAAGATCGCGCAGTGGTGGCGGGTAGTTGCCAGGCAAACATTGCCAAACGATCCGTTCGCATCACACCGAGATGTCTAGTCTAACGCAAAAACTCCTCCGCTGTGGATTCGCTCCACTATCCTGTCGATTGCAGCCGCGGCAAAAACATGGAGAATGCAATCGCCTGACTGATTGGCTATGTGTCGGTTGCCTTCTTTCACGCTGCAAGCGCTGCGCCGTTGCTGTTCAGCCGGCCCATGACTTGTTCAATGGTATGGATTGGCCACTGAGCAAATCAAGGAAGGCGCTTGTGGAGCATCGTGACCATCACGACAATGGTCAACCTATGTCACCGAGGCGCTGAAACCACATGGTTTCAATGACTTGACGTGATGAGTGATGACTCCTTAGCGGAAGGAACCTTGGAAAGCCTCCGCACTTGATAAGATCATGGTACACAGTTAAGATGGCGTGATGGTGCATGTATGGGTTTCAGTTGGGTAGACGATCAGAAATATGCAAGGCTAAGGACTTTATGATGAAATGGACAGGCGTCGACAATTAGATTCAGCTCTGTGAGAGGAGCGTTGCCATCGGGTATGGTTCGCAGTTTTTGGAAACCAGCTGCGCAAGACATAGCAGAGTCCCCTTGAGCTCAGACGAAGCTCAGGAGAGATGCAGGGTCAGGACTTGTTGCGCGTGAAGTCCTCATGCAAACAGCTCGAGCGAAGATGCCCTATGGACATATTGACAGACTCGTCGGCAACAAAAGGGGTCACTCAGAGAAAAACGTCGGGTAACTTAAGTGTGGAGCTGCAGCTCTGGTACAATACATGCTCCATAAGGAAATGAAACATCTTCGGGAGAACACATTAAAGGCGCAGATTAAGGCACGAAAGACTTGGATGGCTCCAGGAGCTCTATCCTGTCTTCACTAATGCCTATGCGGAGGGGCTTGGTGTTGGCGACGTTGTGGTCATTGGAACGTCTGCTCAGGAAGAAGCTGACGGTGACAAGGCAAATGGTACGAGGTGTGACTTAGGAAGAAAAGGCAGACGAGATCTCCCGAGACCCTCTGCGAATTTGGTTTCACATAGCCACAGGTGTCACATAGCCACAGAGATCCTCACAGTGAGGCGCAGCGCAGATCTCACATGGTGTGTGTCGAGAAACACAACAAAGAAACCTGTGGTACCTCGTGGTTCAATTTGAAGGGAGTTCCATGGGTTTCGTGCTATCACTGCAGCTGTTGCTGACGAACGTGGGCTGACGCAATGTAAATGCTTGCAATGAAATTTGAAGACGACAAGATCTTCAAACTGTGGAAGGGTGTCAGGAAACCTAGCCTATACATGACCATGGTGGATTGCATGATTGTTGCTTAACTTAGTGGGCATAATGCAGCCCATCTTCGAACTGCTTGAGAAAAAATGTTTTAGACGTCCGCGTAGGGCGTTTCAGTTTTTGGGCCGCTATAACATAAATTGTAGTCGACTTGCTTCCGAGAACGGTATTTTCCACTCAACGATCGCTTCGGGGGGGCATCTCATGCGTCGGTTTGGCAGGTGCCTAACTTATTGCAGGACAGTGTTGCAGTCGCTCGTTTCCTTGGGGCGGTCGCGTTACGTCTTGCTTGAGTTGTACCGTTGTACCATCCAAAACCAGGGATCATCAGTTTCAGAACTCGTTGGATCACGCGCGCAAGTCAAAGAACAATATGAAACAAATTCAAGAGACGACGTGCGTGGTGTTTCTTGTATTTTCCCAACGGCTTCTATGTTTCGGTTCGTTTCCACATGTTTTTCTTTCCTCAATATAATTTTCTCACCTTTGATCACCCTCCTCACTCCATTCCCTGCCTGCCTCATCCTGCCTCCATTTGCCTTTTTTTGGTTTTGTCACCGTCGAAAGAAGGGGGGCGTCAGGAGTTGCAGTCATCGAAAGAGGCCGGCAGACAGTGGGAGTATATCGTATGGTGTCATTTGAGGTGATGGCCAATTTCGTTGAACCCTTGCGCACGAAGGTCAGGTCAAAGTACAAACTAGCATCCGACTGAATTGTTTGTTTGTCCAAGGTTGTTCGAAGGTTCAACTACTTTATATATAATGTGAACATATGTAAACATTTAGTAGGTATTCTCCGAGCGTATTGAACATGTTGGTGTGGCTGTGCCTAACTATGACTGTTTCTGTGTGCTTCAGAGTCACGTCGCCACATTGGTTGAGGCGCACCAAATAACCTGTAGCGGTTTGGAAGCTGAGCTCCAAAAGTGGAAGTCAGAAGTTGAAAAGAAGGCCAACATAGTCTCTGAGCAGGTGGAGGAGACTTGCAGCTGACAGGTGGCCAGATGTCGAGTACCTGTTTTGCGGTTGATTTTGAACGACGGAATTGTCGGCCACGAGTCCTATATATGTGTTCAAATTATTGCTTGGACATTGGGACCTGTCGTTGATGTCTTTTCGATTCTCCTTCCCCAACTCGCTGGGCAAGTGAAGGAAGAAATGACAAGTTTACGGTTTACTTGAAAGGATTTGTAATTATATAGGACTGCTATCCAGCAAGGTAACAGAATGGGGGGGCAGCAAGACCAGTTTGTGTGATCATTCAGCGCCATTAGGATTCCTCGTTTCAGCAGTTATAATATATTTATATATACACACATTGTCATGACATACGACTTGTATCCGTGATTCCACTTGTTGCAGTGGCACTCTGAGGCTGAAAGAGTCACCTGGTATGAACACATATGAACACAAAATGCAAAAAGTACCGACTGCTGCCAGCTTTGTTTCATCTCCGTAGATGTGTATGCTGGGGTTGGTTGATCCAGGTTGATCCTCTCAACTTCTAGAGGAGATCCTCCAATGCCAAGACCAACTGGACCACAACAAGCTGGAAGCAGAGAAGGCTGCAGCGACCATTGCAATGCAGACCCTGGAGCCGGGAGAGAGACTGAGTCTTTGCACACCCAAATGGACCAGCCACATGCTCCTAGTAGCAAGGACGCTACTAGGGGCTCCTGGCCTTACTATATACTAGGAGCAAGGACGCCAGTTTCTGTGTCACTCACCAGGAGCTAAATAGATGGAAGAAGGAGGTGGAGAACAATGCCCTCTTGCTGTCGCAGCAAGCTCAGGCTTGGTGTGTGGAAGCAACGCAAAGCATTCACATGGGACAAACTGGGGGAGTGGGTCCTTTGTCCTTTTGCTCTCTAGATCTTTCTCCTTGGCAGGAGTTGGAGCAGTGCTATTCAGAACTGGAGCTGCGCAAGAAACAGGGAAATGAGAAGAGCGCGGCAGCTTTAGCGAAGCGAATCGAGGCCATTCATGATCTTTCAGGGTCTTGGGAGTGAATTATGCCTACTCCTGACAGGCTGAAGAGGAGTTGGAATGCTTCAAGAGAAAGTATCAAAAGAATTTGGCCGTGATGTCCCGACAAGATAAGGCTCGGATCAAAAGCCAACTTTGTTGGCCTTCTGGGATCATTTCAAACAATGTCGAACAGCTAAACTATGCCAAACCAAGCTAAAGCCGAAGCGAGCCCAAAAAGCGATGCCACCTAAAGAATTCACCTGAGAGCACGGTTGAGTTCCCACGTTCTTGCAGGAACTCGAAGCGTGCCAAGCATCAGTGGACTCCTGGAAGGCTGAAGCTGAGGGACACCTCCAGGTCATCTCGGAGCAACTCGAGGCAAAAGCTGAGCATTCCAGCAGTTCTTGGGGACACATGGTGGTGCAGTGTGTGTGTGTGTGTGTGTTTGTGTGTGAACTTCGGACAAGCAACGATCAAGACCAGGAAAGATGAAGTTGCAGCTGTTGCTTAGCTACACGTCCCAGGAGCTTCGGTCTGCCAAAGAAGAGTTTGAAATCATGAAGCAGCAGAAGGAGGACTGGGGCAGGATGTCACATTGCTTGTCCCTTGCCCGCTTTGTTGTCTATGATTATTGCGAATGGAAGTGCAGCGACACGTACAGTGCAACTTGTACATATATGGGCTTGTCTTTTTTTAAGGTGTCCAGTTTATGTAGGGCTGGGATGTTCGACTTAGGCGAAGCATACCCCGAAGCATACCCCCGAAGCATACCCTGAAGCATACCCTGTGGAAATGCTACTACTTTAGTCTTCACACTGCGCGAAGCATACCCCGAAGCATACCCCCGAAGCATACCTCCGAAGCATACCCCATAGTCAAACATCCCGGCCCGGGAACCTTAAAAAATACAAACCCATATATATACCATATGTACTTTGGCTCAAGGATCAAGCGACTAGAAAAGGTGCGGTTTCCGTTCCGACGCTACGCCGCTTATGGACCGTCAGTGATAGCTTCAAACTTCGCTGATTAAGATCCACTCGCAGGTTATCAGCCGTACGCGCTCTTTATAGCCGTACGAGCTACACGAGACCAAGAACAAGACTAGTCATTACAGAAACCTGCAATGTCAAGCTCAGGAGGAAATGGAAGCGAACCCTATTCATTCGCTGCTCCTGGTGGTCCCAACACCATTTCGTCACCAGACTCTACAATGGGTACTGATTCATCAGCAAATGCTGACGTTATCACTATGCCTACTGGGTCACAAATCTCGGAAAGATCCGTGCCACCGGCTCGGAATCTGACCGATCTTGCACCCGTAGGACCAAGAAGATCGATGAGAGCTACAACAAGATCTACATCGCCTATAACGTCTACCGCGAGATCCCCAAGAAGGAGTATAGAGAAGAGACGTGACGATGATAGAGGAACAAAAGAGCAAAGAAGAGAGATTCAGCTGGGTGAAGAATTGAGATCGGCGAGAAACGCATACAATTTTCTTCATGAAGAATATGAATGCATCCAAGCCGGATACTCACGACTACACCGCGAGGCTGAAGTGGAGTTCAGGCAAATGTCTGACTACAACAGGAAGATGCAGGAACATCTACAAGAGATGACACAGGAAGATGAAGGAGCGACAATAAGAATTGAAGAGCTCGAACACAAGCTACGCTTGGCGGAATCGACAGCTGAACATATCTACATGAGATATCAAGAGCTTGCACAAGAAACTCATCAAGAACATTCAGAGCTTGAATCTGTGAAAGCAACGAAGGACAGAATGTCCCAAGAGCTTCAAGCAGCAATTGGACACATCCAAGAACAGAATGAATCTTCATTGGCGATCAATAGAAGATCAAAAGCCATTCAGGATGAGAACACAGCCTTCGTCGGAATAGCTGACCAGATACAAGCTAGAATGATTGCGCTACAGGATGAGAATGTCAACATGCACGAGGTGATCCAACACCAGAGAGAAGAACAATGGAACAGTGAGATCAGGGAAAGACGTCTTCAACACAGTGTTCACTCGTCTCAGGATCAGAGCAATCAGGAAGCTATGGTTATTGATCATCTACGAGGTCAACTAGCTATGGCACGTGGAGCTGAACTCAACGCGAGAGCGGAGATAGGAGAGATGGAAGTGGGCATGAGGATGGAGATGTTTATATGCCAGACTGAAGTCTCTGCTAAAGAAATGGCAGAAATGAAGGCGAGCCACCATGAATACGAAGCAAACGTCGCAAAGGAGGTTATCGCAAAAGGAGAAATATTCAACAACGAAGTCCTAGAAAGTTCCATCCGTGAACGACAACAATTGAAAGACGTCAACCTCGCTCTATCCGAAGCCAACGCACAGCTGAAAAGAGAGAATATGATGAGAGCTCCTATGTTCGGCGATGATGGTGCTGAAATTCAACAGAAGATCAGAGAACTGGAGAATGCACTATTGGAAAGCCAGAAGGAGACAAAGAATGTCATTATGGAAAATGCGAAACTAAAAGCAGAAGCACGAATGGCACCCATAGTCTCTCGGTACAGCAAGCGTCCTAGTTCCAGAGACCGCGGGTTACCAACCCACGCGTCCGAGGAAGATGAGATTCGGAACGCAAAAGAGGAGGCGAAGCACTACAAGGACGGGTACAATGAAATGACAGAGAGCCGAGATGAGATGTATGAATGGTATGCCGAGACCCACAATGAGTACGCCGAGGAAAGGGAGAAATCAATTGAGCTATCCGAGGCGAACAAATCATTGAGGGACAAGATTTCAGAAGCAGAGGCATCCTCTTCATCTCATCTTGCACCGGCAACCTCTACAGTCATGAAAGTATCGAGGAAGGAAGAATCAAAGATAAACGTTCCGTCATGGCCCAGGATCAATGATCTTGGACTATGGAAGGCAAATCTCATTCAATCGATCATCATTGCGGCCAATGATTCAGATCAAGAGCCCTGGATCGACTGGATCAAAGAAGCCATGGACGATCCTGATCCGGACAAGTTTGTCGACTCAGGAGACCAAAGATTCCATTCAATCGATGCCAAACTCGGCCTAGCTCTTACCAAGGTCGTCATGGATGCGAAAGATGATGGTTCGGGTGTAGCTATGAAGTTGAGGACGAGGATCAATGCAAAAGGGAGAGCATCAAGCCTCATAAAGGGAAGAGAGGTCCTAGCCCTGATCCTTATGAATTTCAAGACAACATCAAATGTGGAAGTCTTATATACTTCAATGCACCTCTACCAACTAGAATATCAAGGAGACAAGAACTTATCGTTGTTCTTCCACACCTGGGATGAGATTCTGGCAGGAATGCTATAACGAGTTTTCCACTTAAGAATTTATAAGTATAAGATATATCTTCAAAAATATTCCACGTGAAACCTAAGTTATAAGTTAGTTATAAGTTCCCCACGTTAACCTGCCCCCTTTTTTGTTTAAAGGTTGTTTTTTTTGGTTCGGTTGCATTTTTTTTGAGGTGAGGCTCGCCCACCCAAAACTTGAAAGTATTTTTGGCATTATTTATGGAACAGGGCGCCGAAAAATCAATCACACCAAACTTGCTGACCATGTGTGCGTTTTTTTTTCTGTGGGCCCGCTCGCCCAGAAATTGCGTTTTGTTGTTTCGTTTTTTGTTTTCAAAGACACATGCGTGGACACTGAAAGCATAATCGCCGCACTTTTTTTCCGCGTGTCCCCCCAGCAGTTCCTGACAGCAGGGCGAGCCTCTGCCATCACTTCAACTTGCGCACATAGTCCACCACGCGTGGCCAAACCTCCTTGGCTGGTTTCCCTTTCCAGCTGAAGGACTTGTCCTTTTTTTCACCTTCCTTTTTCACTCGCCAGCTGCTGCTATTCGGGCAGGTATAAATCACAGCCACACCAGAACGCATCGGATCTCTTTTTTTGATCCCTGGAAAACTGAGTGTTGTCTCGGTCTCAGGTTTTTTCTCTTCCGTGCTGTTCTTTTGTTTTTTGGCTTTTGGTTCATCATCACAATCCTCGGCTTTCTTTTGTTTCTTGTTGTTTTTGTTCTGAGCCAATTGGTCTCCAATCATAGCGGCCATCGCATCGATTGCTTTGGCCTGCGCAGGGATAACCTTTGGCTGCTGTTCTTCTTGAGTTTCCTCATCACCATCCTCCAAAGCTAGCTGTGGCGCTTTCCCGGTTTTTGTTTGCTTGTGGTCCAACATCATGAAACCTGGAAGAGCATTGTACTGCTTCCCATGGCCATTGGCCATCCCTCGCATCAACATATCAGCAAACCAAGTCTTGAAAGACTCGTCTCTTGTTGAAGTGCGACCCTTGTTGCCCCCAGAGACTGCGGTATGGGTACGCCTTGCAGGTAGATCGTTGCACAATCTCTGCAGGGTCATGATGTCTAAAGGACACTTCGCAGGTGTACCTTCTTGGTAAGCATGCTTTTTGATTTCATCAGGAAGCTTTGCGGGGTCATCTGGGTAGACCTGCAGTCCACTGTGTGTGACTCCTTTGCAAACATTTTTCAACACGTGCTTAAAGTCACTCAAGATTCCAAAGCCGTTGGAAACCTCATAGGTGAACTCGTCCGCGCATTCTTGATGACTAGCCAACACAAGGATAGCAATGCACATGACATAGGTAGGCTCCGAAGGAGATGTCAAACCCAGCAAAGCACACCGTTTGCTCAGCAACGCCAATTTTGTCCCAATCGTGTGCCTTTGGCTCTTCAATGTTTCCCACTCACCGGCAGTGAAATAGTTGTAAATGTGCAAATTTCTTTGCATACACACCCTCTTTTTTTTCCTCCAGTTTGTGGTTCTTGTACCGAAGACATCACCATCTCCTGGATGCATTTCGAAATGTCCTGTCTCATCCATTCAGGAAGCTTTGCTTCATGAACCTTTTCCAGCATGTTCGTGCCTTCCAGTGGAGAAAAACCAGGGCTTTGGCGAATATCAACCAAGCAACCTTTTAGTAGTCGCTGTTGCATATCAGTTGAATCCTTGTCACTTGTGAATTGCCTCAATGTGGCCAGAAAACCCAGCATATCTGAAAGCCTGTCTAATGCGCTGGCCATGGTGAATGAAAAAGAGGCGAGCCTTCAATACAAATCCTAAAAATGTTGCGGAGTCGTTTGGCAATGTCAGAAATCATTGTGTTCGAAGAAACACAATGCGTAAGATTTCAATCTACTTGAATGCAAAAAGGCCCATTTTTCTCTATAGAAGCTGTCTCCATCCCATTGAGGCAAATGTTTGCCAGCAAGCGAGCCTTGCTTAAATTTGGGAACCCGCTCAGCTCGAAGACGATGACATGAAGCGATATCGCATCGGTGCATTGGATCGCGGTGCATTGGATCGTTTGCTTTTTCCAGTGACCTTCTTGGCACTGGCCAGCGACTTCTCTTTCGCCTTCTTCATGGCCTTCATGGCCTTCATAGCTTTCAAAACTTTCATAGGCTTCACTTTTTTCATTGGTTTGGCTTTGGTATCTTGTGCAGCTGCCGCCTTCACTGCGCACTCCTTCATGTACTTGTCAAAGTTGGCACAAGCTGTCAAATAGGCATCAGACCGCAATCCCAGC